ACTTGCGAAAAGAGAAAAAGACAGCAAGCAAGAAAAAAATACAGCCACCATATATTAAACAAAAAAAGATAAGCTTACCGACGAGAACCGCATGATGACAACGTGCCTCCACGCGCCACCAAAGAAGTCAAAATACCAAAGGTATTTCTTTAGATCTACAAGAATCTGAGGCTCTTTAGGAAAAACGAGGGTTGGATTCGGTCTTAGAACACTCGGATCTTTAATTTGGGGGAAGTTTGCAATTTCCGGCCACCGGCGGCGGTGTCGGCGGTGGCATACGACTGCCGACAGTGACCGGATTCCCTCTAGCGAGGGAATCCTAGAGAGAAGGGAGAAAGATTTTTATCTCTCTATTTTAGAGAGAGAATGAGAAAGGAAAAATGAAGAAAAAATGGCCTAAGGGCCTGTTTATTAGGGTATTTATACCCTCCCTTAAACGAGAGACCCTTTGCGTAATTTCACGCATGGGTAAATTGTACCCGCAGTCCCTGTAATTTGAGAACTTTGCAATTTAATCCTGAAAAGCGTGTTTCTTTTTATTTTAATTCAACATTTGAATTTGAATTTATTATATTTTAGTCTCTGCCATGCTTTTATATATTTTAGGTAAAATAACATATTTAGCCCCTATAATTTTAATAAATCATACTTTAATCCTGAATAATTAATTAAGGTTAAATTACACTGTTAGGACCTAGACTTCATAATATTTCGAATTAGGTTCTTTAATCATGATATTTTATGTTTTAATCCATGATAATTTAAATAATTTCTATTTTAGACCATAAATTACATTATTTTATTTAATCTTATATTTTTAATAATTTTAAATATTTATATTTTAATATTAAGAAAGGATAATATTTCTTTATTTTTATATATTAAGAAAGGGGTTGTCTTAAAGTAACTAGATGTCATTTTCTGATATTTTTAAATAAATAGATATCCTACTTATAAAAATATATATATTTACTTTAATTTTATTTAAATTATTTTTAAATTTTATTAGGAAAATTTATCATATTTTTATTAATATTTATTTATTTATTAATATTAAGAAAGGGGTTGTCTTAAAGTAACTAGATGTCATTTTCTGATATTTTTAAATAAATAAATATACTATTTATAAAAACCTAAAAAATATATATTTACTTTAGTTTTATAAAATATATTTTAATATATATTTTCTTAGAATTATCCTAGTAAATTTGAAATAACATGATCATAAATTAAATTTATATTTGAATTCTTAAACTTCCACTAATAGAGACAATTTATAATCGATGGGTACCAATTTTGGGCGTTGTGGGGGTGCTAATCCTTCCTCAAACGTTACCGACCACAAATTTTTTTATTACTGAAAAGAATGAATTTTGGTTATACGCAGACTGGTTTATCTTTTAAATGATGTTTTCTTAAAAGCTATTTTAAAAGATAATTTTTAGGTATTCGACATACTTAACCCAAAATATTGATGGCGACTCCAAAACAATTTCATAAAAAATCATTTATTTATTCACATGCTTTTCCCGCCAAGAAAATTCGTGCTCAGGCGAAAACCGATTACGACAAAGAGGCCATGGATGACTTGAATGACGATTGAACTCCTTTAGGATCTTCTCAAGAGGTGGTTAAACCTTCCAATGAGTCTAGCTATATACCAATTGTTGAGTCAATCGAATGATGAAATAGGCAAGAGAGGGTGAATTGTCAATTAAATTTTTGTGGAAGCTTAAGAGGAAAATTTTAAAACGAATTAACACAAGAATTTAAAGTGGTTCGATTTTATCAACCAAAGTCTACTTCCACTATCTTAGCTATCCACACTAAGGATTTTCACAAATTCACTAATTTGTATCTACCTTTGAGGATAAGGTGTAACCTTATAACTCCCTCAAGAATTATTCCTCAAATTCTTAAGACACTCTCTCAAAGAGAAAAATTACAAATTTGCAAACTTATAAAAACCTCACAAGGAATGTGTTTGTACAATTCAAGAACAAATAAGAACACTTGAGAAATGAATACAAGAAGTGTTCTTTGAAAGAAAGAAGAATATTGAAGAATGTTGACTTGATTTAGCTCACAGTTAAAGTTTTTGGCTTTTTCTCTTGTTTCTTATCATCACAAATGGCTTGGGATCTTGTTCATATACTTCCTCAATCAATTCCAACCGTTTGAGTTGTTGTGGGAGTGAATAGAGTTGTTACGGGAAGTTTTCTCGTATTAAATGTTGCTCAGAAGCTATTGGTATCGGTATTATATCTATAGTATCGATACTACCTGCAATAAATACAAAAAATTTGACCATTGGAAAACAACGATATCAATATTGTATCAAGGAGTATCGATACTACTATATAGAGTAATATCGATACCAGACAATAGTATCGGTACCATTTTGAGATTCTGGAAAATATTAGAGTCAAAACCAAAGGAGTAGTATCGGTACTGCAACCATAGTATCGGTACTATAATATTGCTTGGTATCAGTACCATTTTGAGGTTCTGTTGGCAAGATATCAATACTGCTAAGGCAGTATCAGTACTATCATATTAAAATTGAGTTTTGACTCGATTAAAGTTTGAAACCTTTAGTAAAAATTCTTTCAAAAATATTTTCAATATAGATCTCAATTTTTCATTAAGTAAGGAGTAAAAATTGACGTTTTAAAACTTTAAGTAATAATTGTATATATTCGAATAATTGAATCGAATATAATCTTAAAATTTATAAAAATTAATTTACAAAATTGTTTTGTATATCAAAATATCAAGAACCCCTCAACATTTTAAATATTTAAATTTTTGAAGTGTTTAAATATAATCTTTTAAAAATACATTAATTGAGTGATTGAAGATAAGATTAATACACACTATCGATGTCGCCCAACTTGTGCGAATATGTGTTTTCTAAATGCACTGCACACATTTGTTCTTTTAGGAAAAAAATTTGTTATTATTTTATCTTTTTTTCTCTTTTTTCCTTTATAACATTTTAGTGCAATATGTTCTCACACTACAGCACGTAGATAAAAGGCATTTTCTATAAAATAAAAAGTGATTTTGCCCTACGTGACATAAAAAGGTGTCAATTTGAGAAATAATCTAAAACAAATATTATTTTTTATTTTAATGGTATTTGAGACACAAACCTATTATTAATATGCAATAAAAATAGTTTATATAAAAAATTTAATCCAATTTTATAGTAAAAATTTGGATATCCCAACAAATTCATTGATTTAAAGAAACAGTCATGAACATTAAGTTGTTTAAATATTTTTTATTAAGTAAATAGGTATTATATTCTTAAGATAAATAATGATATTAAAATTTATGTAAAATATGATAATATAAATGTCGTTGACGTATATACTAATTAATGGATCTCATGTTATTTAAATATTTGATGTTAATGAGTGTTGACAAATGTGGTTGAGATTCAAGAATTTGATCTTATATGGCTAAGTTCGTATCCTATCCCAGTTACTTTTGGTTGATACTCTGTAAATTTCTATGTAAATCCCAATTGAATTTTGGGTATGCTCTGATTCCTAGACTAAAAGAGTCATCTCTGACCTTAACTTTTATTATACCAAAATAATATTTTATTATATTAACTTTAATATTTAAATATTGAAATAAAAAAGGTACCCATAGTAGATTTAGGACCAGTTTGACATTGATTTTGAAAAATAACTTTTAAAAATGATGTAAAAATAACTTCTAAAAGTACATTTCAAAAGTGCATTTTAAAGTTTAATTATTTGATATTGTTATCCAAAGTTACATGTCCCTTTTAGGTATTATATTGTAAATTAAAAATATATTAATTTAAATTATTTTATACTTATTAATATTTTAATATATAAAAATATCAAATTAAATTATAAAAAATATAAATAAAAATATAAAATTAATTTAAAAAAATTTTCTTGAACAAATCATAATTAGTATATAATTAATACATAATTTATAAAAATAATTGAATTTAAAAAAAATCTGGGTAAAGGAGCGGAGCCATATATCACAGTAAGGGTAAAAGCATAATTTTACGTTTAAACAAAAAGTTGTATTCGAAAAGTTAAAAAATCCAACCTTTATGGTTAATTTTAAAACCATCATTCTAAACGTAATTTTACCTTTACATTTTATCGATTTAGTAATGATTTTAATTTAAAACTTAACTTTTAGAAAAGAAAAAAAAGAACGTTTAAACAACGTGACCAAATGAATCCTAAAGGTGCGTTTGGTTAACGGAATATAAGATTATCGGCGAGAATATGATTATCGGAATGTAACATTACCTAATATATTAATGAGAATGTTGCATTGTTGTGTTTGGTTCGTTTAGCAAGAATGTAAGATTACAGTGTTTGGTTAAAGGAATAAAAGATTATTGGAATGTATATTTTATCAAAGTGTCCTTATTATATATTTGTTTTTAATAAGTTGAATTCTACTATAATTAATTTATATATTTTCTTTAAAAATTTTAAATTCATAAAATTTATATATATTTTTTACAAAATTAAAAAGATAAATAGGTTTAATGAAAGGGTAAAATTTTATTTTAATCCCTAAACTTTATATAAAATTTTAATTATGGATTTATTTTTTGTAAATCTAAAATAATTTAAAGGTAAATTTATAATTTCACCTTCGTAAATTTTTTTTATTTAACAACACAATAAAAATACTTTTGAGAAATCTTTTTAAAAACATTTTAATTTAAAACGTCGAAAATATAATAATACCAAAAAAATAATCATATTTTCGATAATAAACTTTTAAAATATGACGGTTGAGGATAACTTATTACCGAATTCCTTCTATTCCCCCATAATCTCACATAATCTGATCCAAGCCCCCCCCCCCCCCCCCGCGAAACAAAACAGAGGTCGAAATGGCGATGGCGATGGCGATGGCTCCAAAGGAAGAGACGCTTTACAAAATCTACAGAATTTAACCTACGGTCTATCCCCGCTGCGTCACCTTCACTTACACTGGCAAAGGCTCCGAGGGCTGGAGCACCCTATCAGGTGGCGCGAACGCTTAGGTCAGCCTTCCCTCAACCGTCCCTCCGCTGGTCCACTTCTCTGGTTCCACGCCGTGTCTTTAGGAGAAGGAATGGCCGCGATTCCTGTCATTAAATTTTGCACTCAACGGAGACCGGATATCAACATTTTGATGACAACGACAACGGTTTCGGCATTTTAAGACATCGCCTTAAACTTTGTTTCTGTTTCTTTTCTCTTGTATTTAAAAAATAATAATTTGGTTACGAGCGCTTGGGAATTCGAATGTTGTAAATATATAGTAATAGCTGTAATATGATCCTAAGTTTTTAGTTTAACTTTCTTTTTGCAGTGAATTACTGAAAGATAGACTTCCAGCTAATGTTATATATCAGGTTAGTTCCTTAACATATCACTAATGTTGATTTACTTGGAAGATTGATGCTGATGCTTGCAAATCATATGAGCTATGGCGTTTTTTTCTTTTTAAATATATATGTAGTGAAACTTTAGAGCTTTGCAACAGTTTGCTCCACTTGATACACCTGCTGCCATTGATGCTTTCCTTGGGTATTGGAAGCCAAACTGGACTATAATAATGGAGAGTGAATTATGGCCGAATCTTATTATGGGTGCTTCCAGATGTGGAGTAAGTTGTTTCCTACTCGGTGATGCATGTATTTATATATATATATATTACATTATTCTGGATCAGTTGAGGGAATGGAAACAATCAGTTTGTTCACCTATATGTTTGCTGAAGGACGTGGGAAAAGATAATGGATTTTTAATTCCTATATATCTGCTGGAGTAAGTGATGTTTTTAATTCCTATATGGTTGCTGAAGGACGTGGGAAAAGAGAATGGATTTTTGGTACATGTTAATAAGTCTACACCATCTGTTTACTTCTCTATCATATGACATTCTGTATGTTTTTTGCTTTTATGGTATTGTATTATATTTCTGGTGTTCTAATATATCATAACATATGATTTATTTATTTATTTATTCAGATTTGTCTTGCATTATTAAATGCTCGTTTGTCTTCAAAATCCTTTAGACATTGGTCAAGACCACTCTTGTTTCCACTAATATCTCTTTTATTGTCCCAATTTTCTTTGATTGCTCCGTTGGTATGTAATCCACATCTTCCTTTGTCATGTCATTTCTCAAAGCAAATAAACTTCTATTATTGTTATTAGTACCCTTTTTTACTTTAGCAATTCTTTGTTGCATGCCACAGAGCTCTGTTCAGGCAATTCATTTTCAGCTACTTCAAGCTCCAACATTTTGCATAAATTTTCCTGGTGATCTAAAATATGGTATGTCAATTGCATGTTCTCTTTGAATATTATTTTTGTTTTGCTATGCAGTTCTGCTTTTATTCTGAATTGCAAAGTGGTATCGTAGATTACATTTGTTAAACTGTCAATTCATTTGCCCTGTACTTGATTTATAATTAATACATGAAAAGAGTAATTTACTGATCCCAGCAAGCCTTCATCCACTCAGTTACTCTCTAGATTTGTTGCATAAACATCCCTCAATTTTTTCAGATAGTATATATATATATATATATATAGGTTAGTTCTTAAGATATTATATAATCTATCCTGATATGCTACTATTCTTTCTATTCAGCGGTGGGTGAATATGAACTTCTAAAGAAAGATGTCGAACACATAGAATATCTGCAAAAACAGCTTTCTCAAAAACAGGTTTGGATGGCTGCTTCCATTCACCGTGGTGAAGAAGAAAGTAAGTTCTTGCTACTCTTGTAACTCTACCATGACTACCTTTTTCTAGGTTGTCATTTGCATTATAGTTTTACGCAAGATCTTAACTATGTTTATGATACTATATATTTAATTGATTTTTTCTTTGAAGATCGTATATTAATAGATTTTTTTTGAAAGGTTAGCATTCTATAGGAATTTATGGATGATTAGTATGCAAGGTGCTTTGGAAGAGAGACCAATGTAACAGTGGTTTATGTCTGATCAGTCTCGCTATCCTCCTCTTTCATTGGCTATTAGCTTTCATTGAAATCACATGATTCCTCCATATAACATGTTATTTTCTTATTTACGGTGGTTGCTTGTTGGATAGTCATAGCTTCTGCAGTTTATTAATGTAGGCATCCACTTGGACAGTTTAATGAATCATGGTTATTTTGCATTTCGTTAATGTTTTCATTGTAAGACATTTAATCTTAAACTCCCAAGATTATCTTAGTTTTCCCTACAAGATTATTGAGTGAAAATCTACATGGTTGGAGTTATGCTTTTCTTGGAAAAAATCACTGGCATTTTCTGCAGTAATTTTAGGAGTTCACAATGTTCTTATGCAAAGTCACCCAGACATTGTCACCATTATTGTTCCTCGACATCCACTACTTGGAAAAGAGATTGCTGATGTACGATACTTCTGCACAACAGCTTTATTTTCTATATGTTGGGAAATAAACCAAGTAACAAGTAATTTCCTATAGTCAGATTAGTGAGAATACGAAATAAAAACGGAAAAATAATACCCGAAATTGATAACGGAGTTCAGCCAATTGTGTTTACGTCTCCGGACTGCTGCAGATCTTTTACTAAGATAGAAAATTTACAGGTGTTTACAAAACACTCACTACTCACAAGAAAACTCTCTAGTATTGAGAGAAAGAAATGATTTTTGGGATGGTTTTGAAGCTAAATGAGCTAGGGTATTTATAGTTGAAACTTAAGGACTTAATCTTGTAAATACCCTAAAACCTAGGGATTAATTGTGATTATCCCATTATCATTTTTCAACAAACATCTACCAAACTTTGAAAAACTATTTTTCAAAGAAACATTTACCAAACTTTGAAAACCATTTTCAAAGTTGGTTACCAAACTTGAAAACCATTTTAATACTTTCAACAATCTCTCACTTGAAGACTGATTTTAATCTGTCTTCACACCTCGATCAATGCAACAGCTTTTCTAGTCTTGTTACTCTAGCATGCCAACTGAAGTTGAACACAACTTCAGTTTTTCTGTAGTCACCGTCTTTGTCAACATATCTGCCGGATTTTGAGCTCCACTGATCTTTTCAAGTTTCAAAATCTCATCTTCCAGAAGAGACCGGATAAAATGATATCGCAATTGTATGTGCTTTGTCCTGGAATGAAAAGACGGATTCTTTGCTAGATGTATATCACTTTGACTGTCGCAATACAAGACATTGCTTTCTTGTTTCTTGCCTAACTCTTCCAAGAAACTTTGGAGCCAAACCATCTCCTTGCTAGCTTCCGTAACAGCGACATATTCTGCTTCAGTTGTGGAGAGAGCAACTATCTTCTGTAGTTGAGAAACCCAACTCACATCGGTTCCTCCTAGAGTATAGACATACCCTGTAGTGCTCCTTCTGATGTCAACATTTCCGGCTAAGTCGGCATCTACATAGCCTGTCAGTATCATATCTCTACCTTTGAAACAAAGTGTTTTGTTTGTGGTACCCCGCAGATATCTTAGGATCCATTTGACTGCTTCCCAGTGTACCTTACCCGGATTATTCATGTACCTGCTAACAACTCCCACTGCTTGAGCAATATCTGGTCTGGTACAAACCATGGCATACATCAGACTTCCAATCGCTGAGGCGTACGGCACCTTCACCATGTGTGCACGTTCTTCCTCCGTCTTTGGTGACTGTTCTTTGGAGAGTCTGAAATGAACACCTAAAGGTGTACTTACTGGTTTAGCATCTTGCATGTTGAACCTGGAGAGTACTTTATTGATGTACTCAGCCTGTGATAATATCAAAGTCTCTGACTTTGTGTCTCTCTTGATCCTCATCCCAAGAATCTGCTTTGCAGCGCCCAGATCTTTCATAGCAAACTGCTTTGACAATTTTTGCTTTAAGTTTATAATCTCTTGCATGTCTGAGCCTGCAACGAGCATGTCATCAACGTACAATAATAAAATAATGAAGCTATTGTCGAACCTCTTGATGTAACAACAATGATCTGCTTGGCATCTGGTAAAACCACTGCTACTCATGAAACTATCGAACTTCTTGTACCACTGTCTAGGAGCTTGTTTTAAACCATACAAGCTCTTCTTCAACCTGCATATCAGATTTTTCTTGTCTGCCTCTATGAAGCCTTCTGGCTGCCTCATATAGATTTCTTCCTCCAAATCACCATGAAGGAAAGCTGTCTTTACATCTAACTGCTCAAGATGTAAATTCTCTGCAGCTACAATTTTCAACACCAGTCTGATTGTAGACAGTTTCACGACTGGAGAGAAAATTTCATTGTAGTCAATACCTTCTTTTTGCTGAAAACCTTTGACAACCAATATCGTTTTGTAGCGTTTGCTCCCATCGTGATCTTCTTTGATCCTGTAAATCCACTTGTTGTGAAGCGCTTTCTTGCCTGGTGGTAATTCAGCTAATTCCCACGTCTGATTTGACAAAAGCGAGTCCATCTAATCTTTCATGGAAGACTCCCACCTTGACTGAATCCTCCACTTGCATTGCTTCATCATAGCACTCTGGTTCACCATTGTCAGTCAACAACAAGTAGTGCAAAGAAGGAGAATATCGTTGGGTTGGTTTAGGAATTCTGGAGGAGCGTCTTAGTTCCGGTGTGCCTGGTTCTTCTTGAACTGCTTCAGGACTGATCTGAACATCATTTCCAGAAATCTCCTCAAACTCAGCAAATTCCTTTGTTTCAGCTTTGGTATTGGAGCTGCTTGATTCTACAGTTGACCTGTCTTTGTACATCACATTCTCATTGAAAATGACATCTCTGCTTCTAATGATCTTCCGATTTTCATAATCCCAAAACCGGTAACCGAACTCATCACCGCCGTAACCAACAAAGGCATATTTTTTGGACTTAGCATCAAGTTTACTTCTTTCAGCAAAGTCTATGTGTACATAAGAAATACAACCAAACACTCTTAAGTGTGAAAGGTTTATTTCTTTCTTGCTCCAAACTTCCTCTGGTATTCTGCCATCCAAAGGAACTGAGGGCCCACGGTTGATCAGGTAAGCTGCAGTGTTGATAGCTTCAGCCCATAGAAATTTGGGCAATCCGGCATGTATCCTCATGCTTCTGGCACGTTCATTCAGAGTTCTGTTCATGCGCTCTGCTACGCCATTCTGCTGCGGTGTCATGGGAACTGTTGTCTCCATCTTGATCCCATTGTTTGCGCAAAAATCTCTGAATCTCCTATTTCTGTACTCTCCTCCATTGTCAGACCTCAACCGCTTGACTTTCATACCATTCTCATTTTCCACCATGGCTTCCATTTTCTGAAGGTATCAAAGACTTCTGATTTTTTCTTCAGAAAATAAACCCACACCTTCCTTGTAGAATCATCGATGAAGGTGACATAATATAATGAGCCTGCAAGAGATGGAACTGGAGATGGTCCCCATACATCAGTATGAACCAACTCTAACTTTTCAGCCTTGGGTGTCTTACCAATCTTTGCAAAGCTTACTTTCTTTTGTTTGCCAAAGATGCAATTCTCGCATAGTCCGACATCTACATTCTTTAGATCCGACAGCTTCCCCTTTGACAAAAGTGTCTTCATCCCTTTCTCGCTCATATGGCCAAGCCTTTGGTGCCATAGGTTTGATTTTCCATCAGCATCTGCTACTTCAATGATATTCTCTAAATTTGAAGTTACATAGAGAGTACCAGTCTTCTTACCACGAGCAATGACGAGTGCTCCTTTGGTAATCTTCCATTCACAACCTGAAAAGGTTGTACTGTATCCTTCTCCATCAAGTTGTCATACAGAAATCAAATTTCTTTTGAGACCAGGAATATGTCTCACTCCTGTTAGCTTCTAGGTGGTCTGGTTTGGCAGCTTTAGTCGGATGTCTCCTTTTCCGACGATCTTCAAGGTTTCATCATCAACAAGATGAACCTTCCCAAAATCACCACTGACATAGTTCTCCATGATTTCTTGGCATGGCGTGGAGTGGAAAGATGCCCCTGAATCCAAAATCCATGATTCAATCGGACTGTTGACGCTTAAAATCATGGCATCACCTGTCTCCTCCGTCATGTTGGCAGATTCCTGTGCGCCGGTATTTTTCTTCGGTGCTCGACAATCTCTTTTGAAGTGGCCCTTCTTGCCGCAATTATAACAGATAAAATCTTTATTTCCTGTTCTTGATTTTCTCCTTCTGGATTTCGATCTGCCACGATTTGAATTTCTTTCTGAAGTTCTCCCTCTGGACTCCGTGTGCAAGGCTGAGGAGGTTGATGCTTCACCTGATTCTCTCCGTCGAATTTCTTCGCTCAGTACCAGATCCCGAACATCGTCGAATTTTAATTTGCTGTTTCCCGACGAACTGCTGACTTCTGTAACAGTAGCATTCCAACTGTCTGGTAAAGATGATAAGAGAATTAAAGCTCGAACTTCATCATCAAATTCAATTTCCACTGAACTCAACTGGGTTGTGATTGTGTTTAGTTCATTTAGGTGTTGTGCCACCGATGCCCCTTCCGTTATCCGCAAATTAAATAATCGCCTCATCAAATGAACTTTGTTTGAGGCCGATGGCTTCTCATACATACTGGAGAGAGCCTTCATAAGACCTGCCAAAGGTCTTTTCCTTTGTTATGTTGAAGGCAACATTGCGGGATAACGTCAGTCGGATAACTCCGAGGGCTTGTCTGTCGAGAAGAACCCAGTCTTCATTCTTCATGCCCCCTGGTTGTTTTCCTGAGAGGGGTTGATATAGATTTTTCTGGTATAGAAAATCTTCAATTTGCATCTTCCAAAATCCAAAGTCCGCACCATCGAACTTTTCAATTTTCACATTCCCTTCGTCTGCAGCCATCGCTCCCACTCGAATCTGGCTTCATTTGGATCGTTTCTGACAATTTCTGCGAACCGCCGTGTATTAGAACACCTCCGTCGACAAACGCGTATCGCCGACCGTATTTCACTATTCACGAAATTTACTATTCACGTGAATAGTAACCTGAATAGTAACCTCGCAAAAAATTGACAGAATTCACAACCAAAAACTCTGATACCAGTTGTTGGGAAATAAACCAAGTAACAAGTAATTTCCCTATAGTCATATTAGTGAGAATACGAAATAAAAGCGGAAAAATAATACCCGAAATTGATAACAGAGTTCAGCCAATTGTGCTTACGTCTCCGGACTGCTGCAGATCTTTTACTAAGAGAGAAAATTTACAGGTGTTTACAAAACACTCACTACTCACAAGAAAACTCTCTAGTATTGAGAGAAAGAAATGATTTTTGGGATGGTTTTGAAGCTAAATGAGCTAGGGTATTTATAGTTGAAACTTAAGGACTTAATCTTGTAAATACCCTAAAACCTAGGGATTAATTGTGATTATCCCATTATCATTTTTCAACAAACATCTACCAAACTTTGAAAAACTAT